CCTTTCTCGTCGCGACATTGGGGCCGTTTCATCGAAGATATTTTTCACGGCACCCGTCCGATTGGGATTCTTAGTTTCGATGAGGTGGCTAACCCCCTTGGCCTTCACTTCTTTTGACTCCTCCTCCCCCTCACCGCCGCTCGTTGTCTCCTCATCAACCTCCTCTGAAGATGATTCCTCATCGCCCTTCCGCCAGTGTGTAGCCGCTTCCTTAAAAAACAAAAACAAACAAATTACGGATCAGACAGTTCGAGTTTGGTGCCAAAAAGCATCCAGTGTAAACAACTCTAGTTTTGTTGTTCCTGCAAAAATAAGGCCGAAAACTCGTACAGACAGGGAACAGCTGCGGGGAATTCTCATCAGGTGACCTATATGTTGGACTACCGTACCGTCGCGTGAATAATCAATATTCCCGTGTGCGTGTGAGTAGCGCGACGAGCTTACATTTGCAGTCATTCGAACTGCCCCATATATTGTTTCGGGCTTACTGGTATAATCCTTTTATTAGTCGACTCTTCTCCGAAAACCAGTTGTTGTCTGACTAGAGCGCTAGGTTGGTTCGTAGGGGTCCTGGCAATAGCGATAGTCCCGATGAAAAACAATACCTCCGTGAGGCACTCCGAGGACGAGCCGTCGATGACAGCTAAAAACTGTGGCAATCCGACAGGTTTCGGAGATCCTCCAAGAAAATGGTTTACTATGTCTAGCTGAAACTTCCAACAGGCCATACCTTGTATATTGAAGGGGTAACGATGACCTATAGGGCTCCCTAAACAGGACGCGAGAGCAGGAAGTGTTGGCAATCCAGCTGTTTTTGCGCCGAAATCCCAAAAAAAAGTGGAGGTAGGTTTAAATTTAACGAGTTAGGGTTAGTGTTGGAGTCAGGGCTAGGGTCAGGAGTATGTTTGGGGTTAGAGTTAACTCGATGGTTGGGATTTCGCTTAGAATTAGGCCACGGTTGAGGTTTATATTAGCGCTAGTGGTAGTGTTAAAACTCGAAAATATCGAGCCTTCGTGGAATCGCACTCAGGGCCACTTTTATTATTTGGCAACACGTTCTTATTCTATTGTCCTATCTAGGGGGAGGGGCAATATATATGTAATCCCTACCTAAATTCTTAAATGAATGCCGCTTTAGATAAAGTATTCACACTAATGACAAAATCGTACAAAGATACAGAAATGTAGGCATGTTCTGAGGATCTGCTCAGTGCTTGCACCTTCATCGGATAGCGTCGTGAGCCCGTGCGGGCCATGGCCTACGATTGACGACTAGGGCACATTTTAACAAAGCAACTAAAACTACAACAATGAAACTGCCCTACACAGAAGACCGTTGTCTGTTTAAGGGCGTAAACGTGGACACTGGGATGGT